AAGAGAAGCTCCAGGGAGAGCTGAGAGCCCCTGGCAGGGCCTGAAGGGGTTCCAGGAGAGCTGGAAAGGGACTTGGGACAAGGGGTGGAGGAACAGGACACAGGGAATGACTTCACATTGGAAAAGGGGAGATTTGGGTGGGATATTAGGAAGGGATTCTTGGCTGTGAGGGCAGGGAGGCCCTGGCACAGGTTGCCCAGAGAAGCTGTGGCTGCCCCTGGATCCCTGGAAGTGTCCAAGGCCAGGTTGGATGGGGCTGGGAGCAACCTGGGCTGGTGGGAGGTGTCCCATGGTAGGGGATGGAACTGGATGGGGTTTAAGGTCCCTCCAACCCAAACCACTCTGGGGTTTCCTGATTTTAATCTTAATTTTCTGCTAACTTTGGATTTCCTCCAGGGCACTCGGGATGAAGGGAGGGCTGAAGATGAGCATGGGGCAGGAAGAGCCTGGTCCTCCTTGGATCAGGAGGATAGAGACCAGGGGGGTGAAACTCTCCATAAAAGGTGAGAAGTGCAGGAATCCTTCCCCTCTTTTACTTTCAGGGGTTCCTGGGGCTGTGGATGCTGCTGCTCTGTCTTGGAGGGGGATTGAATTGTTGCATCCTTTAGAATATTCTTTGGGACTTTGTTCCTCTGCCCTCAGGTGGGAGATTTTGGTGCAGTCCTGAAGATTCTGGAGCCCCCTGGTTATTTTCTGGCACTTCCTCCACTTTGTTGCTTTCCTAAAAGAACAGAGTTTGGCCTCTGGGGCTCTGGGCACACAAAACTGTTGTTTCCAGACCTGTTTTGGTGCTGGGAAGTTTTGCCTGGATTTGGTTGCTCTTCAGGGCTGCACTGGAACACTTGGCTTTCAACTTTCAACGTGTAAACTGGGATTTTTAAGGGAAGTCAAAGCTTTGCTCTCCCCTGAGCTGCTCAGGGAGCTGCTGCACCTCTTCCCGTAGGTTCAGGGAGGAAAGGGGGCTGATCCCATCCCTGTGACTCTTTTCCCAAGCCTGTTCCCACCTCAAGCAGCTGAATTTATTGGTATCCTCATGCTTGACCCTTTTTCTCCCAGACCTTCCTTGTGTAGAGCCCATCACCCTTAATTCCCACCTAATTAAGAACAGGCACAGGCCATGCTGAATGTGAGGCTGGGAATCAGCAGGACAGGAATATTCCATAGTGAGGAGCAGCCTGGCTTTTCCTCGCTGGTGGGAAGGTTGGGATGCAGTTCTGGCCTTGCTGACGTTGGTTTTGGTGTGTAGGTGCCGGGAGGCAATGGAAAACATGGAGGGCAGGAATTCCCAGCTCCTGCACAAGCTGCAGAAACTGGAGCAGGAGCATGAGGATTTGGTGGAGCGCAATGAGGAGCTGGAATCAATCCTGGGAGAGACTCAGATCCAGACCAAGCAGGAGAAGGAGCAGTTTGAGAGCGAGGTGGAGGGACTGCAGCAGAAGGTGAGTGAGGAATGGGGCAGATTTCTCCCTGATTGATTAAATAAAATGATGTTTGACCTGCACCTGTACCCTCTGGGTTTAGTTTGACAAGAAAAACCTGCCAGTTCAGAAAAGAGGGGAAAAGGAGGAAAAAATCTGAGCAGGGAGTAAATTACACTTGTTTGGAAGTGCAGATCTCCCAGTGTTACAGGAGCATTGTCTTCTCCAGCTCCTGTCCCCCCTCGCAGAATCCCAGACTTGTTTGGGTTGGAAGAGACCTTAAAGGTGATCCAATTCCACTCCTGCCATGATCAGGGACACCTTCCACTATCCCAAGTTGTTCCAAGCCCTGTCCAACCTGGCCTTGGACACTTCTGAGGATCCAGGGGCAGCCACAGCTTCTCTGGGCAACCTGTGCCAGGGCCTCACCACCCACACAACCAAGAATTCCTTCCCAATACCCCATCTATCCCTGCCCTCTGGTGGTTGGGACACTGTTAATAGGACAAGTCCACTCAGGTCATCCTTTGACTTTAGGGGGTGGATAGAAATCCTTTACTATTTGCATGGGATGCTCTGGGAACCTTTGGGAAACCCCAGATGTGAAGCACCACCTGGAATATCTGCTTTGCCAGATCCATGGGGCCTCCTGGCAACCCCTGCAGGGCCACCTCCATCCTCTGGGCAAGGATTGAAGCTTCTCAGGCTGCTGCTGCTTTTCTCAGGGTGGTTTAAACCTCAGTTTTAGGGGGGCATTCTCCATCCCTCTGGAGCAGCCCTGGGAGGAGCACATTACACATTGTCCTTACCCAGCCCTTGCACGTTGTCCCCGTGGCACCCTGGATTTCTGGGATGAGATTTTAGGCCCCCCTAGGTTTCCAGGCAGGACTGACATGTCCTTGCACTCGCACACAGTGCAGGAGGTGGTGCAGGGCTGCAGGCGTATCCCACATGGATGCTGGAGCATCCCCAGGATGGATTGTTCAAAGGAAGGGACCAGGAATTCACTGTCAGCAGCCTCTGGCTGGGAGGGAAAAGCCTCTAAACCCAGGCTGAGGACATGTTCCAGTATCTTAACGAGGATGCCAATGACACCATGTTTATCTCCTCTCTCCAAGGAGCCAAGGGCTTGCCCTGGAATGGGATGGAAAAGGGTCTGTCCACCATGGTTGTGCTTTGGTTTGACTCAGGGCTTGTTCAGCTCACACCAAACTATTCCCCACTGGAGCAGAACAAACACAACCCTCTGCAAATCAAACTGAAGAGTTTGGACAAATCCCCCCTTTGGTCAGTGGGTTGTTAAACAGATCCCAGGGAATGTCATGGCATCGAGTAACCAAGGAGATGTGAAGTATTTGGGCTGGATTGGAGGCTTGCAGGGCATGGAGGAGAGCTGGGATGGAAGAGGAGATGAGTTAACCCCTGGTTAGATCCCTCTGCTCAGACAGAGGGGGCTGAGCTGCACCTACATCCCCAGGGGGGGTTTGGGAGCCTTAGAGGGGAGCAGGGAAGGGCTGGAGCCCAGGGAAGGCAGCACTGCTGGGGGTTTGCCAGCCCTGCTCCATGTGGGAAGGACTTGGGAGATTTCCATGGGTTGGCACAGCTCCAAAAGCCTGGGCTGGCCAGGCTGTGAGTCAGGCCCAGGACACAGGGGGAGGATTGTTCTGCTGCTGGCACAAAGGAAGGGCTTAAACAGTGGTGGCTTGGAGGGACAATGAGCAAAATGATGGAACTGCCTTGCTGGGCATCAACTTCTGACCAAAGGCTGGCTGGGGGTGAGGAGGGGAGGCTTGTTTTGCCTTTGAGATCTCTTTCATAACACCAAGGCCTTGTTTGAACCCCAAACTCTCACGTAGTCATGCAAGAGGAGGGGATTTATTGCTCTTTAGCTCTTCTGTGAGAGGTCTGAGTGTCTCACCCCACTTTTAATACCTGTGAACACCTCGAGTGGGTCACTTCTTTGTCTTAAAATCCCAGTATTGCAGCAGCTTTGCTGGGTCTGAGAGATCATTCCCTGCTGGGAGCTCCAGCAGGGCCAGAATGTGCTGGAGCCTGTCAGGGAGAGCAAAGCTCCTGGGCTTTGATGTCCTGCTTTGGAAATGGGAAATGGGCTGGGCTTGGCAGGGATTTGGAACTTCTTCAGCTTTGGGTTGGAATACTGGGAAGCAATTCCTCTCTGTGAGGGTGGGGAGGCCCTGGCACAGGTTGCCCAGAGAAGCTGTGGCTGCCCCTGGATCCCTGGAAGTGTCCAAGGCCAGATTGGAGCAACCTGGGATAGTGGGAGGTGTCCCTGCCCATGGAAGTGGATGGTCTTTGAGGTCCCTCCAACCCAACCCATTCTGGGATCCCGTGGTTCTGTGAAGCTGGATTTCATCTGCAGCTGGATTTCACCTCCCTCCAGTGTCCTGGCTCATCCAGGGACAGCCTGGCTTGGGCAGGTGAACAGCCCAGCTGGGGAGTTTAGAAATAAGAAAACCAGCCCAAACTTGATTTCAGTCATAGGGAGGTGAAAAGGAAGCTGCTGAGGGCCCTGCTGGCAGTGGAGCAGAGGGATTTGGGAAGAGGGTCTGCAGGAGCCATGCCAGGGAAGAGAAGCTGGGCTGCTCCTTCGGGATGTCCTTAATTGTGCTGCTCCTTTGGGATGTTCCTTGGTTGGGCTGCTCCTTTGGGATGTTCCTTGGTTGGGCTGCTCCTTTGGGATGTTCCTTGGTTGAGCTGCTCCTTTGGGATGTTCCTTAACTGGGCTGCTCCTTTCAGATGTTCCCTAGCTGGGCTGCTCCTTTGGGATGTTCCCAAGCTCCTTGAGCCCTTTAGAACTGCAGGACCCATAATCCATCCCAAAGGATCCCCCCAAGGGTAGATGTGCAGAGTGAGCACTTGTCCCCACAAACTCCTGCCTTCCAGGAGGAGCTTAGGGGTCCCAAATCCCGAGTCCTTGGAGCCTTGAGGGAGGGATTGACAACCTTTGAGCAGTGGAGGGACCAGGACAAGTCTGGTCTGAACATCTGCTTGGATAAACCAGCTGTAGACACCAGATCAATGATGTGGGGTTCTGACCCCACACTGATTATGGGGTCAGAACCACCTTTTGGGGGTGGGTAGAGGGGGAAGGGATGGGTGGAACCACATGGAAGTGGGGTGGTGTTGTATCCCTCATGGCAGCACCTGGAACCCACATGGAGAAGCT